ACTCTGTAATTCTCTCATTTGCTCAGATATCCATTTTATGGTATCTTGATGAGTTATCCTTCTTTTCAATCTGTTGACAATTTATGTTTATCACAAATCTTCTTGTGTAGAAAGTGAGGCATGTTTGCAGTTACTTCAATGTCTGACCTCAGTGCTTCATCATCACCATCTTCAAAATCATTGTCAGCATCAGCTAACTGAAATTCATTGTGCAGGTCATGTTCATATTTCCAGAACTTATGTGAATCGCTTCATATTTATTCCTCATTTATTCTACCGATCAACATCTCGTATGACGTTACTTACTTTACAGTTTATTCTTCTATTCTACTTGATGTTTGACAGTGGTTTTTAGCATTTCAAACAACTTCTTTCGAATTTTCATGTCTGTAGCATTCTTTGACATTGGGTTGATTATGTGAGTTCACTAATCGATTACTGAACATCAGCCAACTGTATGTTTATCGAGTAACCAATTGTGAATGGATTCTATCATTGTAGTCAGAATAATCGAATTGAATAAGTTCTTGTGTGGAATATCGCGATTCGGCCGAATCAGAATAACATAGAATGGACTTCTGTTTGAGGATCAGTAAGAAATTGACAGTTCGAATATCTGAATTTAAACGTGTTCACCTGTGAGAAAGGCTGGAGAAGGTTGTGAACAACACAACAGCTTCCGATATGCAATTCATTCATTTCCAACATATCTGATTTATATGCAATTCAAACAGACCACATCACAATGTAAAACAGGAAATCACAAGCCGTAAAGTTGTCATGAATTTGAACCACTGCAATTAAGAAAGTGTAAATAACTTAGGAATCGTAAATCTTATGACAATTGTAAGTAAAAATGAAGCTTCTGACAGGAAGGATACGAACGTCTACAGTCCAGTTTTTGAGACATTATGAAATGAGAATGTAAATAATATTCTCCCATCAATATTTCACAGAATTTGATTATAATTTAATCCTCACCAGGATATAACGGTTAGGGACAGTGGCCAGTTTTGAAGTCTTCATTTAGTTTGATTGACTGATCGACAGATGAATAAATGCATAACCGAACTCACCTATATTTTACGTTAATGTGGTTAACCAGAAAATGATTTTCGAGTTCAGTAAACCAAAGCTGCGAAATGATGACTCTAAATCGAGTGCAAAAGACGAATGAAAGCCATCATAGACGAGATTTGTTGTAAAATTAACACAGTATTTTCGGAAGGCATGTTTATAGCAGAAGAAACAAAACACACACATAGTGCAAATGTCAAAAAGAAAAGATACAGATGAAAGCAATGAAAAGAACAAATTGTACAATTCATAATATAGAATGGACTTACTGAATTGCACTCTCATCCATAGTGGGTGCGTAAACAAAGTTTACCATAATCGAAATCGGTTGTATGTTGGTTTCTATACCTTCATAATTTACCTAGCTTGCACTGATTAACATAATCTCGATAGCACCATGTGCTGCTGACAAGTTTTATGTTGGAGGTGTAATGCAGCCTTAAGTAAGCCGTGTACTCAATTATCTTCACAGATTGATAAATTGAAGATTTGAAAACAAGATAATTCTAATCAACATGCATTACTAGACTCATCCGGAATAATATTGTGTACGATTTCTGTGTTTACTCTTAACTGTGGATTGATGATCTGTGTATTGATGAACAAACTATCTGCTTTCACTTCATTTTGTCTTGACAAAAGTGTTAGTCATATGAATGTATTAGTAGAGAGTGGCATCCCTCATTATAATGACAACTGTTATCATGCTCAATAAACAAAAGAAAATGTCATATCATAGATAAAAACTGGTGATAAAAAACGCGGAAATATAATGATTGATATTTAAACAACAAAAGCAACAATCAAAAAAATAGTTTTCTTACGTGAATACGCATATTAAATTGAAAGAAGCCAAATAGTATTTTTGATGATTATATGTGATATTCGAACACATATTGGCGAATGAATCGTCAAGTAACTGTACTTAGTTTGAACAGTTTTGAGATGAGGAAAGTAGCACGCGTCCTTCTCTGTCATAACATATACTGTTCATCGATGATAATATGTTTCTTTTGATCAGAGTTATCTTCTCAATCACTTCAAATCTACTTATGAGATGTCAAAGTCTTTGTGTTTTTGATTGATTTTTAAATGTTAAAGATGATTGTCCAGTTAATGGAAATAGAGAATATGAAATACAAACAAGCAACGGAACATATAATCGTCCGTAGGCATTAGGAAACTGAAATCGCATTTCACTGTTTCTCTGTTTGACACTGTCAATTAACATAGCTTCAGTGTCATTCTCCGAAAACTTTCTATGCAATATATATAGCTTATCATCGTTTTTGCCTTCAGTGTATATTCTGGCGAATGAATTAGTGCGTCTTACCAAGCGTCAGTTGATCATTGAGACTGTATGGATTAGGTTGTTGTTACAGTAAACAGCTCGGAATACGGCAGAATAGAATGCTTTTTAAGGATATAAATAATCTGTTCTCTGAAATCTACGATGCCATGTTTCCTTTGAATTCAATATTTTGTCGTCGAACATTCCCATTCTGCATCAGATTTTAATCAACTTGATTTCCTGATTTCAGATAGCAGTCAATAATTGAGATGATTCTGTAGCTTGTTTCCCCTTAGAGTTTGTTTAATTATATCAAGTTCATCATCACCATTTGTGTGATCAGTGAATATTCATCTGGCTCTTGAGGATGAAGAATAGATCGAATTACTTTCCGTACCTGGAGCAACCGAATCCGCAAAGTCAACTTTTGTCCGTTTCTTACTCTACCATTGAGACCCTCTTCGATGAGTTTCATTATCTTTAGATAATTTTGTAAAACTACTCTGTTTCATCACAGATCACTATAGCATCATCTATAATTGCATTTCTACAGCTTCAACCGGAAGCTATACGATTAAAAATATGTGAACGAAATTGATGGTTATTATTAGGAAATCGCCTTTCAGGTTTTGGCGAAACATCAGAAATCTATTTATTATCATTTTACCGATGACTTCAAGAGGTTCACTAAACACCTTGTCGACTGCTCTCTGTAATACTCACAATACAGCAAACGCTTTCTTTTTAAAACTTGTCAAAGGATTATGAAGAAGATTAGAGAATAAGAGGTTATATACATGACCTGGCAAAATGTAAGATCTGATGTCGCATAACCTTAAAATCGTGTAGCCTCTTTATGTTGTGAAACATTCTTCATACTTACAACACATTTACTAATAACAATATATATTTTTAAACATCACGCAAAAACAAACATTCCTGACTTATTTCACCAAAATTATTATTGAGTTATGAATGTGTAGAATATTATTCATTTGCCAGTATTCAATGTTTAGTGTAAGTTAATTACACACTTGACATCATCTTATCACTGTGATTTTCTTTTATATTTGAACACAGATTATATAAAGTACGAGCTCAACTGATGTGAGGGAATAGATCGTTGAAATACACAGATGAAAATCAGTCTTCTATTTGAGTATTGATAAACATTTTAGTTTTCAGATACAATGATCAATGTTATAGTTCCGATTGTGTCTGGTATAATAAATCGTTCTACATTTTCAACAGTTCACTTTCAGCGGAATGCATTATATTCCTCCGATTACAATGATTTGAGAACTCAATCTATGATACTGAACACAAGTGGTTCTACTTCAATGTACTCAATAGGAGAATCATTATCTTTTTTGATCTGGACATCTATTGACAGTCAGTATTATAATGTGGTATACAAATATTTCTGACTGAATTTACTGAAAATATTGTTCAGTTACGAAAGTATTGATTTTCATTCACCTATCAGTATTCTATGTTTGGGGTGAATTAAATATACCTTTGACACTCTCTTGTCACAGTGATTTTCTTTTATTTTGGAACACAGATGATAATTGGTACAAGTCCAAATAATGTTTGGAGTTCGTTCGTTGAGACACTAACGGAGGACAGTATTCTCGTTTTACTTTTCTGATACAATAATTACTGATGTAATTTCGAATTTGTGTCTGGTTTTGTGACAGTGATACCCTAGTATGCTTTAACTGAAATAAGAGTTAATACTAGCTGAAATAATTTATGTAAATCATTCATTGAAACACTGAGATGAATATCGGTCTTCTCTGTGTGTATTGACAAAAGTTTTAGTCTTCAGATACAATAATCACTGTTGTAACTTCGAATCTGTGTCTGGTTTATGAAATCGTTCACTACTTTCAACAGTTCACTTTCAGCGGAATGCATTATATTCCTCCGATTACAATGATTTGAGAACTCAATCTATGAAACTGAACACAAGTGGTTCTACTTCAATGTACTCAATAAGAAAATCATCATCTTCATTCATCTGGACATATATTGACAGTCAGTGTTATAATGTGATATACAAATAGAATGGGAATGACATTGTTCAGAAGTTACAACTTGACAAAAAAAACGACAGAGGAATCGTTTAACAAAATGTGCTTATTGAAGCAAAACCCATTTGTAATAGAGTATTTGTTAACAATCAATCAAAACAGTTTATGCTACTTTGATTATAACCAATCAAATCAAAACAACTCATGGTTGACGAATAATCAATACATTATTACACACAACAAACTGTTTGTTCGTAAACATGTGAGCACACATTCTGGACTAAAATTTAACCAATCACTCATTTCAGAATATCGTCTATCGCATCGATTAGATGTTTCATCCACAGGGGTCAAAAATTTCAACCAACTGTGAATAATTTTCAGCTCATGATCTCAGTAGTCAGAAGAATATTGCTTAGCGATGACGCCATACACCTCCATCATTGGTTTATAATGAACATCTGATTTTATTGAATTCAATCTTTCTAATGGTTACTTTTAATCATCGAATCAGAAAGGAACAACCAAACACTTCAAAAGTCTATATAAACCTGACAAATTCTATAATAATTTGATTTATAACTTGACACGATAAGATGAGGTAAGTGTTGAATGAACATACGAATTCAAATTGGAATTCGACTCCATGAGATGCCGTTGATTTGTTCATCCTGATCATTTTAGATATAATTTTTCGCCTAGTCTATGGATACGAATTTATCTTATATTTGTTTGGCATTACAAACGTTTCAACTGCAATGACATTTGCGAAACCTCTGATTTCAGTCCTTATGATATTGTCATTATTGAGAATGATACTTATCGATATGTATGTAATCTGATGCATTCTAATACACATATTCCAGTCTTTTCATTATAAATATTCAATGAGGATTCAACGTTATCAACCTCAACCAGTTTCCAGTGACCGTTTCAAAAAAATGTCGACCTACATATACGTGAGTTGATTACACTTTATAATAAAGATATTTTTCTATATGTTTGCATCATTGCAGTATGCTACACCTCAATTCTCGTTTACTTTTTACGGTTTTCACGTCGAACAAATTGATATTTACAAAAATCGTAAGTTATAAATTTTCATTGAAGTCAAATTATTAATACGCTTTGTTGATCCAATTTATGTTAATGAATCAAAGTTGATTCCATTTTATTCAGCGAATCAGTTTTGTGCTACTTGTAACATGCAAAACTCCTTTCAATATTTTTTTCATTGTTCAACATGGTTTGACTCTGTATAGCAAACCAAATACAGATCAGTTTTATTATTTAAAATTGTTTATTCATTCATTACAAATTTATCAATGATGTGGCTTGTTTTCATTCAATAGATGGAGAAAATGTATTTCAATTTCAAAATACCTACATTGGAACTATTGATAGTTACATAGAAGAATTTGAGAACTCTGAATCCAGAGTTTTGGATGAGAGTAAGTTCTTATATAATTCAGTTATTCTCTTTTTTGATCACTTTTCTCACACTTATTTTGCATAAAAGCTACAGTATTTATCTTACAGGAGTGGTAACTAATAAAAAGTGTTTAATGTGTTTCTGTTGTTTTTGCAACAGAACGTGTCTGTATCGCAGCAAGTGTTGAATGCTGTTAAGTGGAATCGGTAATTTGAACAGAGATCTACCTGGAAATATACACTTTCATCGAATAGAAATGATAAACCATGTGATGCAATTGCGAAAATGTAATTTACCAACACTCCAGTCTATGAAAACTACAAAACAGAGGATATCTCATCTACACGATACTTCATGGTAGACTGAGTAAATAAAAGTGATCACTAGTGCAATAGTAGGCTATGTTGTGAGAGAAGGCAGTTTGTATTATTGAAGCCTATGAATTATCAAGTTATATTTGAAGTCCTTTTATAGCACTTACTTGATTCTTGAATGTTTAATGTCTCGGAGTTGCTGTGTGTTATTATTCGATTATTCAAGACTATTTTTTGATCGCATTTGTATGGTTATGCATTTCGAATAAATGCACTTCGTGAAACAGCTGACCAGTGAACGTGCTTGAACAGTCCGCTAGTACCAGATGATTTACTCATACCAGAACACGTAAAACATCAAAGTGACATTCATTTATTTCGGTCAAACGTAAGCATTGATGAATAAAGGGATCCAAAAAACACATTATTCTTGTATTGTCGAGTACCTATTAAACGTCTTTTATTCTGTAAGAAGCTTCAAGAACAAATTTAAAAGAATTGAAATATTCTTCTCAGTTGATTGTGTTGAAACGTTCATCATATTGTTGAATTGATAATATTCTTTGGACTTTTCTCATGAGAGATGGTTTAGCATTTAACTACTCCGGTTCTTTTAAAACTTTGAATGGAGACGACAACTTGTATAAAGCGTCAGTCCGTGTTCAAAAGTATATTTAAACATCCCTTTTGATTTTCATTATTTCAGAGGAACTATTAGGAGTCAAAACGAATTTTTCGATAAACGTTAATGGTTTAGGTGAGTAAACATCGATCAGTCGTTCGATCACACGCGTGAAACTTTTACACTTACCTATTCATTTTAAACAAATCCAACCTTCCAAAATACTAACAAAAGAATGAAGGTGCTTCTATTCTGGCAAACGATGGTAGAATTGAATGTGAAATTCACTCACTAATTAAGTACATCCATTGAAACATTCAAAACAGTTGAAATGAACTGTGAATGACTGGATTTGACAGGCAAAGATGAATCATCATGGATAATTAAAACTACAATCTCATTCTGCTTATTGTAAAATGAATGAAGAGATGTATTATTATTTCAAGTTTAGGTGGAACTTGATAACCAGTCTGTGATCCAAAATAAAACAGTTGTGATCTACATTGGTGACAAAGCCATTGCTGCACACATAATATTCAACTACACATCCTTTCATCACATAGTCATTCACAAATATTGACGATGCAAACTGAGTAATTGTTACCTTAAGCTATTCGTTTCTCATCTTCAACAAATGGACACTGAAGTCAGAATCAGTTAACCGATAGAAATCTTTATATATATACCGCCAATTTATTTCTCAAGTTCAATATGTAGACAAACACTCCTAAGATCATGTCATGCGTACTGAGTGTCCATCGTTTCAAATTGAACTATTTAGGATATTGCGCGAATGTTATTACATCCCTGATTATCAGATCCCTGATGGTAAAGTAAACGACTTATTGTTTTGATAATTGTAATACAACTTCAGAATCTAGGCATTTAACGTTTGTTAGAAAGGTATTCATGTCCGTCTTATTTCAATGACGTTCACTTCACTGTATTGATTACCAATCCATCTGAAGAAGGCATTTCAGATAACACAGCTAATATCCTTTGAAATCTGTTCAAAGTGTTACATCAAACAATAACTTGCCCATAGTTTAGATCCTCAATCCTGAGTATCAATATTCTTCTTACTGTAGAGGTTACAGCCACAATGACGAGTTTAATGCACCCAAATGGGAAGGTGTCGTTCTATTATGATAACGTGAGTTGTATAATTTAGTGAAAATGTGATATTGTTTCAAGTTATTCACATCATTCTACTATTTCATGTTGATCAATATTGTCAAATGAATCTAGTTACACTGAACACGACATTGTGTAATAGGCAAGCGGACTAGTTGACACTATTATCAATCAAGCAAGTGGTAGGAACAGTGAATAATCAGAAGTAAAGTTATTTCAGAAGAAACAATAACCTGTTCGTGCCAAATAGTAACTGGCTGTGAATGTTCGCCTACTATACGGAAAGAGTAATATTCTGTTGATTGTTATTTATTTTATATTATTCCAGTAATTATTTGAATCTATATAAATGATTGTGTTGTAGCAGATCTTTTCTCAGACATTCAACAATCCTTTTTCAGATTCCTACGGAAATTGAGGAAAGTAGGTTGCAATCGGAAATCTATGGATCAATACCTTGTGAAGATGGTAAGAAATATTTCAGCGAATGAATACTATTATTATTATTAGCCTTATTCAATATTATATTTTTGATACAATATGGACATCTCAGCACAGAGTACTTCAGCAAGTATCAGTTTCTTACTTCTTCGTCCTTCCTGAGGATAAATATTTGGTGATCGCCACTTTGAAGTTTGCAGCCCAGTCATTCGACATCTGTATAATGTACATTCTTCTCGCTGCATATTGCCTTCTGCAACCGTTACAGCTAAAACGCTTACTCTTTTCAGAAATGCACCTGAATAAGTTGTGTGATTCTAGGAAGAAAGAGCATTCTAACAGTGAATATTATTCAGTTGCTTCTGGCGTAAAGTCAGTTCATTAAAATGTCATTTGAGTGTTGTGACTCATTGTGCAGAGTGAAATTGGAATGATTTCCGTGAACACACTGTCCTAATATTTTGGTAACTTCTTACAATTTTGATTATCGGTAAACTCACCCAGATATGGATATATGAATAACTATATCAAACTCAAATTATATCCACTCATGTATTCACACACTCACAGTAATACAATCAAACTTGCAGTCTTTGATCATATCAACACTCATTGTAAAAATAAATGTGCTTTGTATGAAGCAGAAATAAAGCAGAGCCAGTTTGGAAATGATATTTCATCTTCGAAATGTTTAATCGTCCTGCTTCACTGAAATAAACATGTGTTGTTGATAGATGCAGCTGAGTTTGAAGAGGAGTTTTGAGTGTACGTGATTATGTGAGATGCAGTGGTTATGACTGAATGTGAGACGGTTCATCAAATGTTCCGCCAGATGTTCTGCATTGACAGGTTAAAGTGCATTGGTGAGTCATTTACACAATGAAAATAACTGTCATTTTACATTATTTGGTTCAGTGCTCACATGAGTGATTTGTACTGCAACTGATCAGTCCCTTATTCATATATATGCACACTGTTAGGATTATCTGAATGTTGCTTGAACTCACAAGCATTGTGCGTGAACATGGAGTGGAGGAATAGCAGTGGAATCAAATACGGTTTCTCAACATCAATCTGAAGATTCAATAACAATTCAAAAATCATTTAAAGCGTTATACAGTTTCACAAGTCATTGAGTAGATGGACTGACTGGATTAGTGGATAACCGAATGTAAATGGAAGTGAATGGTGCTGGTTTTCAGTCCCTGATGTTCCAAATAACATGAAACGCGCGTCTGAGGTTGACTTACAAATCGGCATTGTTCCTTGATTTGTAGATTTGAATGTTGCCTTTGTGTAATATGCATTGTGAAATAATATGTAAGAGGATGAGCACATCTATCCCAGACGTCCAGCTGATTTCATCGTTAAATAACTCAGAAACGTAACTATTTCATTTTTATTTTAACGGTTCGGTTTCAAAAATCAGAGTGATGTAAACCATAGATTTTTGAGAACAGTCATCACTCTGTATGTAATGAAAAACACTACAGATCCTTGATTTGCCCTCTATTTAAGTGAAGCAAATAAACTTGTTTCGCTTCCAAAAGAAGTCGAAATTCTATATCTCATTTTCGTTTCATTTTGTTACACAAGGTCACACAAGGTCTCCTGAGATATCTGTTCCAGTAAAATGGATCAAAAGTGGTACGTTGGTGGAGTTTGAAGCCATGAGAGGTACGTGAAATTTGATTTAATCAGCACTTACTATTTTCGCACTTAAATTTTCGCACTAAAATTTTCACACTTACTATTTATATCAACCCGTTGATTCGTTGTTGAATATTAAGAATGAATGACTCGCGGTTTTCATCAACAATAAGATTTTCACCTTGATGAAGTTTACTTGAACATAAAGTCACAAAATGAATGATGGAATGTTTTTGGTTTCGAAAAATATAAGATGTCAGTAAGCGACTGTGCATTGACAAGGAAGTGTTCGTTATTATCTTGATATATATGATGTAGATCTTTTCTGAAGCATTGAAGTTGTCGATGACGATTGGATGAACGATGTTGCTTTTCCTTTGTTGTTAAAATGAATCAACACAGTTCAATTCGAATTTTGTGTCTATGAACAACCGAGTTTAATGCACTTATCTCATTCACAAAAACGATTTCATGGAAAGAAAGTGTATGACCATCAAAGTCAATTGCAATACGTTTTGCTGAACTCAGTGACAACGTAGTGTGCAGATGTCTGAATCCGAACGGTTATTAAAATTCATCAACTTTCCCTTGTCAAAATATCGTCACTTCTTCTTTGTACTCAAATTAATTTCATTCAATCTAGAAATGCAGTCTTGAAATAGAAGAGAAATTGAAGGTGTACTGAGTTCTTCATGATGCACCATGTTGACCGTTTTCCACAGAATGTAATAATCACATAACTCAGAAATTACCATCACATCATTCAGTGACAGTTACAGGTTTTGTATTTTTCTTTTCTTTTGTTTGATTATCTTATATGAAATCACCTTTTTCATTTCAAAGACCGTTGTTTGCAGT